TAAACGCTTATATATATTGTAATTATACATAATTATATATTTATATAAATATATATTAGTATAAAACCTGAAAATAATTAATACAGTTTTATTGCTAAAATATTATTTAGCTTTATATTTCAAAATACATGAAAAAGTTGTAAAGTAATCAATAAAATATTCGGAGATTCAGAAAGTACATTCCGAAAGAACTTGGGAATCTCTAGAAGATTTGGCTATTCGATTTACATACGCCAATTCTTATAGGATTCCTGGACGTTTTCTTCTTACGAGAAACAAGTCCATCTCGTCATTATTCTCGTGGTGAGGCCGTATATAAAAATGGCAGATCTTGTTCGGTTTCTGCTGTCAATCTGCCGTCAAGTTATGTCAGCTGATTCTGTTCGATTTCTAGGGGCTTTTTAGTCTTAAGTACTACGATAATCAAAAGTATATGATGTTAACGTATGAATGTTATAAATGGATATTCTTAATAAATATAATCTGTGCGCAGTTCTTTCATGATGGCATAGAAGAAAAACATAAATTAGAAAAATGTATCAATATATAAATGTGTAACTAAACTGAAAAATGTATCAATATATAAATATGTAATTAAACTGATATCTACGATTAAAGCTGATTTATTTTATAATATAAGTATATGTTTCTGCAACTTTTCTTTGTTTTTGAAGAAACATGAAAACAAATGTCAATTATTAATTATTATTTGTATCATTGGGTTACAAATTAATAAATAAAATAGGAGAACCTCATTTGGCTACAAATTGATTGCTTACAGCACCATTTGCTTATATCCCATTTGCTTTCACTAAAAAAAAATTGGTTATCTGGATAAAATTTTTATGATTGGTTTATTCAATGGTTGATTCAACCATTATTTAATTGCGAATATATAGTTTATGTTAACCATCTAAGTTGAAAAAACTAAATCAGCTCAACTAAATTATTTTGATAGAAATACTAATAGAATTTATTTAATTTTGGGTGGCATTTAGTTATTTTCAAATTGTAATGAAACAGCATATATAAGAGTTCAATAAGGAAGCAAAAATAATTTAATTATCCAATTTTACAATATGAAAATCGGATCATTCCTCGTGAATGCAAATGTTCTTCTGCTCTTTTTCATTTCAAATTTGTATTGTTCCACAAAACAAAAGTGCGACAATTTCTCATAACTGCTTGGTAAAAAACCAAAGGTCAAATGGCGCCGACTTCTTTCATCGCATTCGTGCGTATAATTACTAATTATTGGCTTTAACTATTGCTTTGCTATATAAATAATTGTTACAGTATAATTTATAAGCGGAAGGAAAAGTAATGAAGCTATGCGGCGCTACTTTATAGATTCAAGTGTCAAAAGTTATGTAGATTATGTAGGTAGGAGTTAAGCAATGTAACTTTTGGAAAGTCGCAGGATGAATTGACATTAAGATAGTAACCTCATCAAAGTATATAAAAAATTATACAAAATTATATATTTACTATATAAAATTTTATACAACTTTTATATACAATTTTAAATAACTATATATAAAATATTTTTTTCCGGATTATTAAAATAATTTGACTTATATATATATATATATATATATATATATAT